CATGAAAACGGATGAACTCTAGCAGGTGACATCAACATGACACCCTAGCGCATGTCAAATGGGATGAACAGGCTCAGGATAAGCATATGTGGCCTGACCCCGTTTACAAACTGTCCAGAATCAGGCATAACTCAACAATGTTATTTAGCAATGAAGATATAGAGAAAGGCAGGGACCAGTGAGCTGAATTTTCTGTTTATCTGTATGAGGAAGGGAGGGGCTGCAGCCAGGAGGGAAGATGGCTCTGGAAGGATCTGCCCAGGATCTACCTATTTCTTACGCCGAGACTGTGTAGACAATCATTCTAAACTGTACTTCAATTCTTTTCTGTATGTATTTGGTTTACTGTTATACATAATACAGAGGAATCAAATGCACAATTTAAAAAAGGGGAAAAAAATAAACCCAGGCATGTATTGCAATATAATACTTGTTTATGATAAAAGATTTCTGGCTAGCCACAAGCAGAGGGAAACCCCTTTAAATCAGGAGTAACTTCACAAGCCTACAGTAAACCTCATACTTAATTAGAAACTCTAAAAATATATGCCGTTCATACACAAGGATGCCAACTGTCATGGTTGGTATTCAACAATGTCCTAGCCAAGCTGGTTAAACCATATTAAAGTTACACAAATTTAAAAAGAAAAGATAACTTCTGTGTTAACTCTGGAGGATATGTGTCACCTAAAAAAGCCAAGAGCATCTAAATAACTTACAGACCCAATAAGAGCAAAATTTTTTTTTTACTAAACTCAAGCCAACAGCATATTTGTATCGCTGTGACTACTATTTAAAACATGTTTTTAAAACTATCAGGAGAAAACTGCAAATCTTCATTCAACCATATAGAGAAGGCTTCAATAAACAAGTCTTCTTGTGGCAGAAAGGCACACTAGTGTAATGACGGCAATAACTCTCCAGAAACTAAGTTCTAAAGTAAATGCAATTCCAATCAAACTTCCAGCAGGATTCTGAGGACTCAGTATAAAGATTCTGAAATTCGTATGGAAGGACAAAGATGTAAACACCGCCAAGAAGTCTTGAACAAGTAGGGAAAGCTTGGTCCATTAGCTGTCAAGGCTTTTATGATGCTGAAAGAGTGGAGAGACAGACACCAAGGACAAGAAGCAAGAGCACAGAGCAGCCTCCTACACACACAGCGACACGGCTCAAGACGGAAGTGCCCGTATGAGCCAGTGGGGAAAGGGGCACAAAATACGCTGTAACCTCTGTTGGAAAATCTGATGTTTTTGTGGGGGAAAAATTTAAAACCTCTCTTGCAGCCACCACAAATCTGAACAACCGACGCATTAAAGACTTTTTTCAGGCAAAACTTGAAAAGTTTTGAAAGAAAACATGAAAATATCCTCCTGACCTTGAGTGAGGTAGCAAGCATATCTATGATAGAAAAGCACAGATCACAAAGGGAAGGACTGGTATGTTTGACTCTGCCAACAACACAAACATCTACAAAAGAACTACAAAGTTCAAAGACCGCCAGACTAGAAGATGTTTGTAATGCAAATAACAGACAAAGGGTTAGTATGTAGAACATGTGCAGAGAAGTCCAGAATCAACAGGAAAATGAAAAACAACTTAGTAAGAAAAAAGAAAAAGACAATTCACAGGACAAGACTAAATAAACTTACGCGAAGAATGCCTGGCTTCACGGACAGGTGTGGAAATACAAATGAAATCAAGACACTGTTTCACCTCCGTGTGACCGGCACAAACTTATACATAAGTGGGCAAAGACGTCAGAGAGCAGTTTCTTCATAACTGCTGCGGGGGAGGAGTGCCGTGCCCTGCAGGAGAGCGCTGTGACAATGGCGGAGGTGGGAACAAGGTGCCAAAGACGCGGCGAGGCACCTGGCATCTACTCTCTGGAGAAGGACAAAGATAGCAGTGTCCTGTGACAAGATAGTTCAAGGGCACCCACGGCAGGTCCCCTGTGACAGGGACAACTTAGAAATTACTTTAGTGCAAATCAATGGGAAATAAATGATAGAATAGTTACTTTTTGAATACCAAGCGCCTGTTGAAACGAATCCTGATCTATATGTATCAATATGGGTGAATTTGAAATATGGAATATTGAGTAAAAGGTGACATTTATGTAACTCTTCAAAGCACAGAATCCTTATTATGTATGGCTACAGCACACATTGTACACAGGAGATATTTTAAAATGTGGGTGGGAAGGATGAAGGTGTCAACCTCAGGACAATGGTTACCCCAGCGAAGAACGGGATGGGACCTACGAAGGGATCTAAATGGTATTAGAAATATACTTCCTATACACACCACACACATTTTAAATGAGGAGACTCAACATACATTAAAAATACTGACTTTCTCCTCTATACTAGGAAATATTCTAGGGGCCTGGGATAAAGATATGCACAAAACACACCATTTTTATCCCCTTGAAATTTACGTTCTGCCGAGAGGCAGAGGTGGGACATACAGTGAGTGACTTCTCCCTCTTCCAGCTGCTCGCCAAACCCTGTGGGGAAGATGTGGGAGGAGCAGGCTAGAAAGGGAACACAAGGAGCCCAGCTCTGGATGTCTCCGGGCGACTGTCCGCAGGCAGCCACCAGGAGATGCTGCCTGGGCAGCGCGGGCTTGGGATTCAGGGCGGAGGCCGAGCAGGCGGAGTGCACCCCCGCAGGCTGGGGAGAATGTGGGCATCGGGGAGGAAATAAGAATGAGGGCTGAGGAGAGGTTCAAAGCCCACAGGACCTGCAAGGGAGGAGCAGTGAGGCATGGTCCCGGAAAGGAAGGTGCTCCGTACCACCAAAGGCGCAGCCTGAGCCCCGCTGTGGCTGGGCGTGTCCCTGGAGCACCTGTGCTGGAATTTAACCCCTGAAGTCGGGGTAGGGGGTTTGGAGGGGGGGCCTCTGGGAGGTGCTCAGGATTAGGTGATGGCACGAGTGGGTCCTATGGAGGTGAAGAGCCCTGAGCTGGCACCCATGTACCATCTCCCCGCTGAACACCCTGTGCCGCCTTAGGCTCTGCAGAGCGCCGGCCCCCAGCAAGAGGCCCCAGCAGATGTGGCCCCTGACCTTGGTTTCCCAGCAGCAGGACGGGAAGATATAAATGTCTTTATAAATTACCCGTTCTATGGAAGTGAGACAGAGTGAGCCACGGTGGCAAGTTTCCCAAACAGGTGGAAGAACACAGACCTTCAGCGCCATGCGGTTCCCCGGAGGCCCAGATAGGGTGGGTTTGGGTGGAAGGGGTTCTGGAAAGAGCAGGGTGGGAGACAGCAAGCAGTGCTCCTGCCCGAGGAGTCTGGCCCTAAGGGAGGGCAGAGAAACTGGTCACCGTGGGAGGGGCGCAGGGTCCGGGTGGGATCTTCTGCTGCCCTTGAGAAGGTGGCCTGGGTAGGACCCAGGGCTGTGCAGAAGGGGTCTCAGGGAAGGGGAGCAGCGCCACAGGCAGCGGCGCACAGAGGCGGTCACAGGTGCAGGCAGAGAGCAGACTGTGAGAGCAGGGCGTTTTAAAACCACAAAAATGACCTTTGCAATTCAAAGCCCGCCCTCGGCCTCCAGGCCCTGTAGAAGGGGCCGGGCTCAGTTCGGTGTGTCCACCGGTTGCCAACTTCTGGGCCAGCGAGGTGGCTGAGGCGGTGCTGGTGGCCCCCGGCACACAGGGTGCCCACATGACGTCACAGCTCGGAACACCAGGAGGCCAGTGGCCTGTGGGTTGTGCTTGGCCACTGGCAGTGCCTCCTGCAGGTGTGGGACAGGCAGGCAGGTTCCCCAGGATCGCGGGCCTGGCGGGTGGGACTGGCAGCAGAGGGGGCGAGGGAGTCGAGGCTGCATGCAGCGGGGCGGTGCACAGGGGCTGGCCGCGGGGGCGCAGGAAGGTGAGTGGGGAGAGAGGGGCTGGGAGGATCTGTGGTGTGTGCGTCTTGGAGGCTGAGGACCTGCTGGACTCTGGGCTCGAGAGAGACTGTTGGATGGGAGGACAGCAGGAGGTGGCGTGGGATGGAGGGGGCAAGAGGAAGGCAGTGACTGTCCTCACATCACAGTGCGGCCAAGGGCATGGGGCCGGGAAGGCTCCGCACAGTACGCAAATCACACAGACAGCCCTGGGGCCCTCCGCTCAGGCTCAGAGGTGGAGGTGGCCTGTGTCCCTACCTTGTCCATGCAGACAGTGCTGCTCAGGGCACCTGCCCGTCTCCCAGGTGTCAGCGCTGTCCTTGGCCCCAAGAGGACCCTCAAGTACATTTGTTGAACTAATCAGTGAGCGACTCAGTGAAAGCTGGCACCTGGTCAGTTCCACACCATGCTGCTATGCCTTTCCTGGGCCTTGGCCCTGCTACCATGCAAAGGTAACAGGCAAACACATGCCACAGCGAATGACAATGAGGTAACCACAGGAGAGCTCCCGGGCATCACAGGAGGGATTCCAAGGCAGGTGACAGTCTGGGCAGGAAGCAGGGGCTGAGCAGAGACAGGGCCTGCTCGGTTGAGTGACCCAGTGAGGAGTCTGTCCCTGTCCTTTCCGTAACTTTCAAAGATGCTGAGTGGCTCCAGGGAAATCTAAGACACATTCCAGTATCCAGTATCTACATTTACCCGAAATGAATACATAGTTCTGACCACGCTGGACCATCCACCTTGCTGGAGGGGCTGTGTTCTCCAGCTCCGAGTGGGATTAAAGGCAGCTTGGGTGACTCTTGGCAAAGCTCTGAGTCAATCTGGCTTCAATATCCTCTTTCCTTTGTTGGTCTCTCCCACTGTCCTCCCCTGACTTGCGCCCTGGCTCTGACTCTGGCTTTGCTGCGTGTTTCCCTGATGGGAAGTACTAATTTCCAGAGTGCTAGCTGCGCAGGTTAGAAGTTACAACTCAGCTGTGAAACACTAAGGTTTAAAACAATCAGGCCCGAGGTTCGATGTCTCCGGAAAGAGAAACACCAGCCCTGCCTCCTTCCGCTTCTGTTTCCCCCTGGTCACCCAGTGTCTCCCCGCCTTCTCCCAACCCTTCACCTGGACTTGGGTCCACAGGAGCATCTGGGATCTTGGTAGCAGCGCGACGCCAGGTGCAAGGCTCCTTCCCCTGTTCGATCTGAGAGAGGACCTCTGGCTTGGAGATGGCGTAGTCTGAGGAAAGATGGGAAGGTCAACTTTGCCATCTTCCTGTCTGGGCTGGGGGAGGGCAACTGGAAAACCGAGAATGGTCTGGGGACTAAACGTCACGAAGGGTACAGGGCAGCAGTTCACAGGGGTGGGCAGTTTTGCGCAGCCTGGAGACAATCTTGGGCAGCATCTAAGGGGGGTACTGCTGGCATCTGGTGGGCAGAGGCCAGGACCGCTACCGAACATGAGTGATCTGGTCCAGAGTGCCAGCAAGGTGGGGTGCAGAGCCTGCACATTAAGGTGCAGCACGCCTGCCAACTAGAGCACCCACTCCATCCTCACACATGTGCCTTACTGCCCGTGTTTCTGGGGGTCCCGTTGAAGCCATCCTGAGAAGAAAGAAGCCAGGAAGAAGCACGCTGCACGTCCTTTCTGTGCTGTAGGGCTCTAGCGCATGGCACACTGAGGCCATATGGTCCACAAGAGAAGGTACAGGAGGTCTATCTCCAATAGACTGACTGCAAACTGGACTCCAGAGCTTAGGGCTCCTGCACTCCAAGTCCCAGCAGGAGTAGAGGCGTCCTTACCCTGGGCATGGTCAGGAGAGGGGCCACCACCCTCCTAAACTGCCACACCACCAGGTCAAAGAGGAGGTGTGTTTGACCCCATCACTCAGGACCACCTGCAGGAGGAAGGGGACAGATCTCCTCACTCAGAGCATCTGGGCCTTACATACGGCTGGGACAGAAACCCCCAGGATGGAGAGAGGCCTGGGGACTTGCAGAGTCCTCCTCCAAGGAGAAGCACGGGTCAGGCCTTACCCAGGGAGACCAGCGTCTCGTAGTTGCCCCGCATCACGTGCTTGTACAGCTCCTTCTGCCACTCCTCCAGCTTGCCCCACTCCTGCTCGGAAAAATACACGGCCACATCATCAAAGGTCACGGGCACCTGGAACCACAAGGGTCACACTTGCTCACCCACATGCTGGCCACAGGGCCCTCAGGCGCTCCACCCCAGGGCACCCAAAGGCTACCTTGGGGACCTCGCCCTTGCTCCCCGGAGGCAGCCGCAGGATCCAGAAGTTCCGGTTGCGCAGCAGGTTCTCCACGTTCTCCAGCCGCCGCTGCAGCAGCCCGTACTCCTGCAGCAGCGTCCCCAGCACGGCCCACTTGCCCTCCAGCTGGTTGCCGAACTCCAAGGCCGTCTTCTCGCAGTCAGCCAGCTTCTTCTCGGCCATACCGGTCCGCCCTTCCAGGGAAAGCAAGCGAGCCGCCTGCGATTCAATCTTCCTCTCCATGGCCTGGATTGTAGCTGCCATTGTCCATGGAGAGATCTTTGCGGAAGAGAAGAGGGAAGCAAGCATCATTCATCACACTGCTTGTGCTCTGGCAGTACGCCTCCCCTGGATCCTCGGAGCCCACATCTTCAGGAAGTGGGGATAACCCGCATCCTGCGCCAGCTCTCAAACGTGGGCATCTGCCATTGGGCCTGTGTCTGTGCAGCCTCCCATCTTGGTGCTTACCACCCTACACGGTCAGTTCCCGCAAGCCCGAGCCCCGACACTGCGAATGTCCTGCCCTGCAGGCGGCCTTGCATATCCTCACAGCACACACTTGGCACATGGCAGGCACTGTCTGCGATTTTGCAAAATAAACAGTGACTGAGCATTGCTGGGGTGTTTCAGCAGAGACGCAGCAAACTGCAGATTTACTAGCGCCCAGCCTGGACTTGCTCCCACCACAACCGCACAGGAACTGTCTACTGATGATGACCTAGCAGAAACCCCCAGTTGCTCCACTGAAACCACACAAACAAGAGCGTTGCTCAATTTCTTTTTCTTTCTTTCTTTTTTTTAAAAGCATCTCATGTCTCCTTTTAACAAAATATTGGGCGGCCAATCCCAGGAAGATTTGATTTTGACCCTCCCCAACTGCCCTTCTCTCACTAGCTAAAATGATCACGTTGCAAATCTTCACTAAGCCAAGAGCTGGATTTTCGAACATTACCGGAGCCCCCTAAAAGTCTGTTTTTTTTTTCTCTCCTGGTTCCCACTCCTCTCCTAAGGTAAAAACAACAGACCTTAGACATTTGTGTGGCTGCCCCAATCAGCACACGCCCTGCAGCCTAGCAAGGAAGACAGACACATGTGCGAAGTCATCCTTTAGCACACGCGGCAACAATAAAAAATCCCAGAGCTTCCCTGTCATCAGAAATGGCCACAAGAGGCTTGAGTGACTGCAGCTGGGAACTGTGATGAAAGCACACCCTGGTGGGGAACTGGACCACTTGTCCCATGCATATCTGGGGTGGACCCACAGGGCACAGAGGGGGTGCTGTCGTGGGCACCTTCATCAGTCAGCAGCTGAACGGGGAAGGTCCGTACACTGCTCCAGGAAAACACTCCGAAGCAAAAGCTTGGCTACTACTTGCAAAACAAAGCGATTTCTAGGAACTGGCAGGGGCTCATTTGGAGTCACTGAGAATCAGAACGTGGGCTGACACCTCAAAAAACAGGGGCGGGGGGAGGCAGAAGAAACCTGCCAGAGAGCACTGAAGAGGTTCTCCGCCTGCCTGGCCACGCTGGGCCTCTGGCTGCGTGTCCGAAGGGGCTCTGAGGGCCAGGGTAAGATCGACAGGGGCGGGAATAGCAGGTCTGGGACCGCTGGCACTTGGTGGCCCCCTCCATACCAGTCTCCCGCTAAGGTGAGCCCGGCCATGTACCCCAGATTCTGAGTTTACTCCAGAAGCATCCTGGCACTTTACTGCCTGATTCCTCTCCCATACAGTCCTATCACACTGCAGATGTGCTGCTGTAATCCAATCTATGTTTCGTTAGGCCAAGATGAGCCCAGACTCCTACTTTATTAAGAATTGATTCCTCGTTAGTACTTGGACAACAGTTTTCTTACCATTTCACAGAGCCCCCAAGCTCTACCCAAGGCCTTCCGACCTTCCCGTGGGAGGCAGGGATGGTCCTCTGCTGAAGCCCAGCCCCTCACTAGCTGGAGGGTGGAGTAGCCCGGTGCCTTACAACTCTTTGCTCAGAGGAGCAGCTCCTCTGCGGGGACGCCAAATCCCTCGGTAGCACCCCACCCATAAGAGGAAGTCCAGGCCTCCCAAGCCCTTCCAACCGTCTCTTCCAGCATCACGGGCGCCGTGGGTCTTTCCTTCTGCGTGCCTTTGCCCAAGCTTCCTCCCTCCTTTCAAGCTCCACCGTCTAAGGCGCTCGGCCTGGTGAAATCCTAGCCTCCCACAGAAGCCCAGCTCAAATCACAGAAGCGCAGAATACCTGGCCGGGAGGGGTGGGCAGGGGCTGCACCGCCACAGCTCGCTGCCACCTGGCCACCTGGCTCCCCGTCCCTTTCTGCTCTGCACGCTGCTACCGGTGAACCTGCCCGCTGGCCCAGCACCCCCAGTCCCTAGCCGCCGTGTCCCCCACTCTTCCCAGCTACGCTGTCGGTCAGGGGCAAGTTAACTTCTCTGGCCCCAGGGCTTTTCTTTTGTACGGCAGAGATAACAGCGGTACCCACCCCGCAGGTCTGCAGGGAGGACGAAATAATGGGGGCCGGGTGCAGCGCCAGGCTCGACACCCGCCAGCCGGGCACGTAGCGGGCGCGCGGCGTCTGCGGAATCGTCGCCGGACACCTCCCAGGTGCCACCAGGCCGCTGGGGGGAGCTGGGGGAGGGAAGCCCGGCCGAGCGCTGGGCAGAGAAAGGAACGGGCAGGGGGCGCGGGACGGAGGGCACAGGGCGCCGCGCAGCGCTGCGGGAACTCGGCGCGG